CGTGTCACTGCGACACAAACACGGTGATCAAAATAAAGGAAGCACCGTTTACAGACACACACGTGGAACGCAGTGGTCGGTATTGTCAAAACAAGAGGTGGGCAGCAAGTCTGGTTTTTGTTCTGAGGACTGGAAAAATGAATGGAGGCCGCTTCGTCTCGGGGGAGGGAAGCGGGCTTTCTTTGATGTTATCAAAGCCAGGGGTGGGGAAGAGTGCTCCGCCAAGAAAGAGCTCCTTTTCACACCAACTTGTCGGCATGGGACTCTTGAAGCATTTGTCAAGGAGGGGATTTGGCGGAGGGCCACTAGGATTTTGTCATTCACAAACTCCTCTCCTCTTTGGAATGACAATCCTCACAGCAGGTTGCTCCTACATCCACCGGGGAGACAGATAAAACTCCCCCCAGCCACATTTTCATTAACTTAGGAAGTCATCCATCTTTTTGTGCTGTGTACTAGATGATTCTGCAACACAGGCTACATTAGAGCGTTTTCCCACATTCCCTCTGAAGGGTTTGATGGACTCATGTATCAGATTCCTCCTTCCCTGTGTCCTTGACCGGATGTGTGGGAGTGTAGGGCCGTGCGGCCGTCTTTCATGGCTGCAGGAGGATCAAATCGTTTCCTTATCGTTTGTGTGGAAACTGAACACTTGACCTCTGTCTTATCAGAACCGTTGTTTCCATCTCACTTTAGCCAGGCAGGAACAAATTTGAGGATCTGTTTGTTTTTATCACTGGAAGTGTTTCTCACATAAAACTCCACGGTGTCCCTGGCAAAGGCCGGCTCACTGACAGCAGCTCCTGACAGATGGGGAGCACATCATCGACAGTAAGTCTGTGGTCCTTTTGATGTGGGGAGGTTGAAACATTAAGCTTGGTTTTGTGTGTGTGTGTGTGTGTGTGTGTGTGTGTGTGTGTGTGTGTGTGTGTGTGTGTGTGGGTGTGTTTACTTAACCTGGCATTTGAAACCCCTGTCATTCTCTAGAGTCTCCGGCTCTCGCTCTGACAGCTAGGTGGGACACTGCGTCGCGTCTCCGGTTTCATATAGTGCTTTATCGAGCGGATGAAAACCCTTTTTAACTCTTCTCTGGGCCTGAGAGGAGCATCAACACACACATGTGGGCATCCGTTGCACACGCACACACACACACACACACACACACACACACACACACATGCACAGAAATGCTCACGTGACTTTCAGATGACTTCAGGGGATGGATCGTCTGAAAGTGGCTGACATTTCATCCTCCATCGTTAAAAGAGACAGTAGCTCAGCCTTTGTGTGGATGCATGTGTGTTTCTCACCCTTTTCGTTGTTTTTGTACTTTTTGACCTTCGGGATAAGTTCTCTCAATCGTTGCCTGCGAGAAATCGCGGCCCTGGTGCATATTGGCATGCTTAATTGAGTTTCTCTTTTTGGCAGTGTTTCCTGCTCACGTTATGTCTCTAGGTACAACATATGAGATTCATTTTTTAAAGCAAATACAGTAAGCCTTTCTTGTGGCTTGTTGTACCACATGAACAATCTTGTGATCTCATTTCAATGCAGCCACTCTAAATACTTTCCAGCTTGTCAAAACCTGACTGAAGACTTCTCTGGGATCATCCAATCAAGAGCGGAAGTGGGAGGGTGGTTGGATGACAAGTCTGAAGCATGAAGTCAGCCCTCTGTTCACCTCCAGTACCGTTAAGGCCTCTCTGTAGCTGTCAGTGAGGTGGCAACGCCAACGAGTTCCCGCTCTAATAGTTTTAGACTTGGCTCGGGTGCTGGGTGTGGCTGGCAGCAGTTGTCTGCCACGATCTACTGTAGGGTGTTTATCTTTTGTAGGGATTAAAGAGGTTCAGGAAGCTCGCTGTCCTAGTTCTGCTTTAGAGACCGTGACCTAGTTTTGATGACAGCACCAGTCCCGGGAAGGAGATTCCAAGCCATAATGTTGTTAGGAGATGTTTTTTTTTGTCTCTCTGAAGACATGCTGTGTTTTTTTTGTCTGTTAGCGTGTTTCTATTGACAGGCTCCTGACTCGGGGTGTGTGAGAGCCTCCATTGTCTGTGCAGGACCTGTGGCTGAAACTTGAGAAGGAGAGAATGCTGACAGAAAGTTTGAGTGTGTTCCTGAGTGCAGCTCTGGTGATATTTGTTTTCAGTGGTTATTTACTCAGAATGTGTTAAGCTCTTCAACTGATTTCCATGGGATCATTTTCCTTCTCTGGTAATTACCCGTGCAAACAAAAGCAAAACTCATAAGCGGGCATGAACATAATCAGGACTATCAAATTGTTTTAGACACCGTGCACGGGGATCTTCTTAACCATGTAGATCAGTATGTAAAGTAGTTAACATCCTAATCCTATTATGCAGCTCTGATTTGGCAAAGTTGGCCCTAATCTACTGTCCATTTGACGCTAACGCCTGGACTTTACATTTCTGGGTGAATACACCCGTCTAATTAGGTGTGTTCTTTTCTTACCCGCATCCGATACGCCAATATAGTCTGATACCAATATAAACCATTATCAAAATATGTGTACCCCCTTCATAAAAAATCCTTTTAGGTAACATGCATCACATATCGCCTATCATGCACCTTTTAACATTATTTGTTTTCTGTACAAAGATGTGACAAGTACTTCAATTTAAGTTAAGCTAGTTGTACCAAACAAACAAAAATAACCTTGGTTCGGTTATATTTTGACATTTTGAGTGAGGGTAGAAGTAACTGAAGAGTTTGATGAACAATATGTGGACGCTATGTAAAATTTGCGTCATTAATAGAGTAAAAATCGATACAGATAATTTCTGATAATCCATTTTGATGCCAGTATCGGTAGATAATACTGGACACTCCCCTCTATAATAAACAATTGCATAAAGTTGAATGCAGTTGACCATTTGGGTAAATACATCAGAAGTGAGTCGAGCCCTCCATATACAGTACATGGTGTAAATCCCTGCTTTAAAGGCGTGCTTGACTGAAAAAAATGTTTATTGTTTTTTCGGTCACTGAGTTTTTCATGCAGACTGAAAATAGTCTCCTACACCTATCTCCTGCATTAGCTGCTGATAGAAAATGGATGGTGAAAATTTTCAATCTTGACTCACGACGGGGAAGACTGTTGTTTTAACGTCCGGGAATCAGCAGAGGACGTCAGCTAGTTTAAACTAACTGTTAGTAGGGATGGGTACCTTTGACATTTGAATCGATTCTGTACTAATTCCCGGTACCTAGGAATCGATACCGGTACTTAACGGTACCAATTTTCAATACTTTTGAGTGTTTATTATTTTAATTTTCTTTTATAATTAAATATATATTTTTCTCAATATATAACAATATTTGATAAATATCACAATAAATAACATACAACTGTTTGTATTTTAACATCGTCCTTGTAGTTTTATAAGCTGATAATTAAACTGAAGCAAACATCTTTACTGTGTATCTTCATTCCTTTTGCCGTCCTTTTTCATTTGATTTTTCCTACTGGGAAGTTAGAATTTCCGAGGAGAAAGCAAACGCACCATTAGCTGATAACAATGGTGGCAAGCTAGCATATCAAGCTAGCAATATCTTAAACAGTTTAGCTGCTGGAGCAGATTAAAACGATGATGCCTCACACTTAGATCATTGTCACTGGTTTCATCTTCACCCAATCAGCCGTCGCATTTAGTAAAGTGAAGCCAAACTTTAGAGCGCGTTCATGTTCTTCTAGTCAGAAATTCGGAGTTCCAAGGAGAAAGCTAACGCACCATTAGCGAAACGGAAGCTAACATATCAAGCTAAAGTTATCTTAAACATTTTATTTACCTACCGGAGCAGATTAAGATGAGGATGTCTCACTTAGATCGTTGTCGCTGGTTTCATCATCACCCAGTTACCCATCACATTCAGTGAAGTGGACCCAAGCTTTAGCGTGCGTTCTTTCTACCATGCTGCTCTGTTTACAACACGCTCGCAGCGACTGACGACATAACGCTTTTGCGCATGCGCAGCTGTCTAGGCAAGTTCTCGTTATGAAGGACGGGTACCGAAAAGAGGCACCGTTTCAAATGACGTGAATCGGTGCTCAGTCGGTACTGTAGAATTCGGTCAGTACCTTAAAAAGTATCGAATTTGGTACCCATCGCTAACTGTTAGCAATAGCAACACCACCACACAGCAAAAGCTCCTCCATGCTTGTGTTATTTATGAAGATAAAACATCAGCGTTGTAAGTTGGTGGTAGAGTCACATTGCTGTTATCCAGTCTGGGGCAAAATGTCCAACTATCAGGAAACAAGACTCCCTATCTTGCTGTCTGAAGCCCAGTTGTGATGTGGGCAAAATTTAGGTCCCAGAAATGGTGCGTCTGCAGGGTTTCCCCAGCGCTTTATAAGCCTGGCGGCCTGCCAGGCTTTGCTTGCCCACCCGCCAGGCTAAGCTTCATGCCCCGCCCCCCTCCCAGACCCTACCGTGTCCGCTGACACGAACGGCGCAACAAAACTAGAGCCCTCCATCAGCTGATACTGGTGAGAAAAAGCAGCGGAACGTGTGCAACCACCCCACCCCCGCTCTCACAGAGGAGCGCTGCGGGACGGAGTGCATGACCCCCCTCTCCCCGATGGCCTGTGCCGCCAGGCTTAACTCATTTTCTGGGGGAAACCCTGCGTCTGTATATGTTTTCCCCCTAAGAACAACTTTCAAGGCATTCGTTTCTACTAGAGACCACAGCAAATGTATTTATTAAACGAGTAAACCACTCCTTTGACATCCGAAGAGGATAGTCGCCACACCAGATGTTAGAGGAGATAGCAAATTTATAAAAATCTGTGTAAATTAAGCCAAACTTCTGCTTAACTGTGCCCTCTCATTTGAAAATTTGATTTACACACATGCAGCAGTTGTTATTGTCTGGAGAAGTTAGTCATCACGTATGCTGATGATGCTTTGTTGATTGTCATTGATGTTTTTCAGCCTCCTAAAGAAAATATTTTAAAACTTTATGCTTTTTCTGCACAGTGTCCTCATGCATCACCACATACAAAAAGACACCACCCCCAATCCCACCAAGGACCACCCCTTCCAAACCGTTCATATCCATAACGGCCCAAAGTAGTACCGAGTCCGCCCAGGATGCCTACATGGACGGTGGCTCCGGCCAGCGAACAGGCATCAGCTCCCAACCAGGACTATCCAACTCCACAGAAAGCATCGACAGCATGAAGGCTCTGACGGCGGCCATAGAGGCGGCTAACGCTCAGGTGCATGGCCCCGCCAGCCAGCATGTCACCAACAGCACCATCACCTTCACTGCCACCGCCACCACCTCTACCGTCGCACAAGTCACCCCTGAGAACAAGACAGAGAGTGACGTGCTCCGCAAGTGCCTCTCCATCGGGATTCAGGTGAGTGGATAGATCAAAATCCTAAATTAGACTCTGGTTTGAGTTTGACAGTTCCTTTCCTCGGATTAGGTGGACCCAGAGGAAGGAGAGCCAACAGAGGAAGCGTCTAAATTCCAGTCCGTAGGAATTCAGGTGGAAGATGAGAGAAGGTGAGTAGAAACAAAAAGAGAAACTGGATAGGTCTAAAGGGATGGAAGAGTCAGAGAAAGGTTTGTAATGTGCAATAGAAGCTGTTCTCTCCCCTTACCACATTGGGGACTCCTCTAGCAGCTGTCCCCGGATCAAGAAAGGTTGGCGTCTGATTCCCCCTCAACCAGGGGCCCCAAGCGACAGCTGGGCCAGAGGATGTGGTATAGTTAGGAAGGTGGAGAGGGGGCAAGTTGACAGCCATCTGTTGCCCTACGTATTGTGATTCAGACTTTTGAGGCTGTGTTTGTGTATGTTTAGGAGGGAGGAGGGAGACTGAGAAGGAGTGGGTTTTATTGGGCTTGTTTGGCTCAGAGATCTGTCAACTACTTGCTCACAGTTTCGGAAGAAGCAGCCTAGTTTAGACAGCGTTTCATAAAGCAAACCCTCTGATGAGACACAGAGGCGTTTATGACTTCTTTGTCCACTTTTCATTCACTCTTTGAATGCAGCGTCCTTCTGTTCGGTGAGAAAAGCTGACAACTTTAACACCGCAGAACAAGTTTGTTTCTTTTTGTTCTGTAGTCAAGGTGCTGTTTGTTTCTGGAATTCAAAGGAAGATCAGCTTTAATCAAAGGTCACAGGGAGGGCTGAGTCCAGCACTTTAGAACACACACTTGAACAGTGTCCGAGAATGTGAAGGGGATTTCTCAAAGAGGAGGTCTCAACTGATTGACCAAGCTCAGATTTTCATGAGTCGCCAAGCCAAATATTAACTCATCCAGACACCTTCTAGTCTGCTGGGGCTGTGGGTATTAATACAGCACCACAGCCAGTGTGTTTCTTTCTGGTTAATGTTTACAGTAAGCTGGACTGTATTTTTGTTGGTGCGTTCTTGATCGTTTACCTGTTGGCGTGCTTCAGTCATGAATGTGTATTTGTATGCTTCTGGGACTTTTGTATGTGCTGCTCCCTACGTTAGATTTCCAGACTGTGACGATGCCCTCCAGCCTTACTTCCTTCTGTTAATACAGAGCAGCTGCATGACATAATCTCTCCTTGCTATCGGTACCAACAGATGCATTGAAACCAAGACGTTAAGGATATGAACATTCTTTTTTTTTATTCTCCTCTTTACTTTTTTCTTTTAGACAATGCGTTTATTGTTGAAAAACCTGAAATAATTTTGTAAAACTTATGGCATTAAAACAAGCTCTTAAAAAATGAAATAGTAGGTTTATTTGAACTCATTTTGTCATCCTTTTATCCTTCCCTGTGCACATTTTCTTTCACTTTTTCGTGTTGAGTTTTTTCCTCGTTTCGGACTTAAACCAACTCTGAAACAGATGCCAGAGAATTGAACTAGATGCCAAAAGTGACAGAATAAGGATGATTTCCTGCTTGGATGAAAGCAGAACATGACTTATTTCTGTTTTTACTTGCCCGTGCATACCGTTCTCATTTTAGTTTCTCCTCTGTCTCAAAAAAGTTATTTTTCTTCTTTAAATGTCGTCTTCCTCGTGTTTTCTGAATCCTGCCTTTTGATATGTCTGCCTGTCTGTCTGGGCTGTGTTTGGCCTTGCCTGCTCACTATTTCTGCAGGAAGTTGTTAGCTGGCTGATAGAAAGCAAGTTGAGGTCATTAGAACTGAACACCTGCTCGCAGGAGTTATTCTTTAACTGCTCTTCACACATACTCTCACACACACACGCACGCACGCACACACACACACACACACGGGGCTGTTGGTATGCACACAATAAACCACACACACATGCCGTTTGATCTATCCAATGCCACTCCCTCGGTGCTGGTCTCTTGTTCACAGCAGAGGAGGGATGAATGGGAGAAAAGAGGAAGTGAAGATGAATGGTTCAGGTGAAGTGTGCGTCCGGAGATGGGCTGAGACGGGCGTGATGGGGGTGTGATCGTTTGAGTGTGTCACGCTGCAGTCAGGTCAAGCTGGCTGTTTTCATGTGGAAAGTTGTGTTTGGGTCAGAGTGCATCCAGCGTGCTGGTATTCAGTTTTTAACTGCAGAGAAAAGCAGGTTTTTGATGCCTAATTGGTTGAGACTCACATTTATTTGCTCTTTAATCTGTTGATTAATGTGTGTAACTACCTAATGAGGAGCTGCGTACTTATGTGCAAAATCTTTGCAATTTAAAGAGCAAGTTAATTGAAAAAATGTTTTTTAACTTATTATTTTTTTAATTGATCTGTCACTCTGAGTTTAACGTGCTGACTGAACGTGAAAATAGTCTTCTTCACCTATGTCCTGCATTAGCTTCTGATAGAAAATAGCCGGAAAAATGCTTGCTTCAGAAAAGCCTGGCAGATCTACGTCTAGGCTGTTGTTGATTTAGCAGAGAACGTCTCAGCTAGTAGAAGCTAACCATTAGCAACACCACCACACAGCAGAACTCTTCCAGGCTTGTGTTATTGGTGGAGATAAAACATCCACGTTGCAAAACAAACCGAGTCAGTGGTAGAGTCGTGTTGCTGTCACCCAATCGGATATGAAACATCCAATATCAGGAAATAAAACTCAAAATCCTGCCGTCTGCTTCCACTTTCTCTCCTGGCTGACCTATACGTCCTCAAACAGGTGCACTGGAGCTTTTTCTTTTTCATTCTTTCGTTTCTACTATTCCACTGCAATTATATTAAACATATAAAGTTGCAAATCAAGCTCCTCCAATCACCTTTCACCTTTCAAACCAATAACTTTATCCCTCTAGCGTCCCGTTTACCACTCTGGTGAGAGGCATGGAGCACAGCTGACTGTGTGTTTATTTAATCTTTGCACATGCGTTTGCTGTTGCGCAAAGTGTGGAGGACTCAATAATGCCTGGCAGGCAATGGCACAGCAACCCAGAGCCAAATACTATGTGGCAGCATCCCAGGTGTGTGAAGGTGTGTGTGCTTTATGCCTGTACTGTGTGATTGTGTACATCAGGCCCACAGCAGGCTTTGTGGTGAGACAGATGTTTGCACACTCTGTTGCCTCTGAATGAGACAGGTGACAAAACACCCACCCACAGAAAAGACCTTCCACTCTACAAAGCCATTCATCACTATCAGCGAAGAGATCGCTGTGATCACGATTTCTATTTTTCCCTCCAGGGAGCACCTTCAGGAATCCTGTGTTCATGTTGTGTTTTCTACCGACTGAAGGGAAGGATTGATACTCAGCTTTGCTCTTTTCATCCTCCTCTAGTTACCGCAGGATGACCCGGTCCAATAGTGTCACCACAGCTGTACAGGCAGACCTGGACGACCCCGCGAACATCCCGGAGCTGCCGCCGCGCCAATATGCCACCATGCCACGCCAGCACTCCCGCGACGCCGCCACCTCCACGGTCAGCATCCAGGGATCAGGGAACCACTACCACGCCTGTGCTGGAGACGAATTCGGAGAGGTGGGCTTTGACCCGTCCATCCTACCACCTCCGGACCCATGGATGGACAGCGCACCTGAGCCAGAGTTGGACGCTCTGGAAGCCGTCAGCCGATCCGTGTGCCCTCGTGACGGACGCTGGTTCCTCAAGCTGCTGCAAGCTGAAACTGAACGCATGGACGGCTGGTGCAGACAGATGGAGCAGGATGAGATGGAGAATGAGCTGCCTGATGAGAGTAAGTTACAGTTGCACAACATTATTAGATAACTTTTATCCTCCGTCCATCCTCTCCTAATTTAGAGAGCACTGGTATTTATGGTATTAGACCACAATAGCTGCTTGTTCCTGTCTCAGGCCCTCTGGCCTCCACAGACATACCGTGCATACTTATCAATAGGCCACTGCTGGCTGCAGCCGCACAAGTGTCTCCTAGTGTCTGTAATGATCTCTCACAGAAACGAGCGTCTCTCCGGGCTTCTTCAAAGCATCTATTGACCCTTTGCACCGACGTCACCTAATCACGCGGGTCCACCATGGTGGACGGCAAAAGCATGTAAACAGTGAGCGACACGAGTTCTAAACAAAGGGAAAAGTAGAGCTCGAAATTGTTTTTGCGATCAAAACAAAAACAAACAACTCCAGCATTCCTTCAGCTAGTTCATGCCCAGTTCAGTTATCAGAAGAAGTAGCGCATCTAGCGGGGGCTCATAGACAGCGGTATGTTAACTAGCTTACCAACGTTAGCTTACATTCTCTCTGCAGCTGTTCACCGATGTAAACATGTTGCTGGCTTTGCCTGAATTCACCCCTCTGGATTTATAACTTTATGTTGTAAACAGCGTTTCACTTTACACCAAAGCTGATTGTTAAAAAGTCCGGATCCCTACCAGCTTCTGTTGATGGTGGTGTTACCGGGTTCAGCTGCTGCTCTCACACCGGAATTAGAAGATCTCTGAACGCCGACGCTCATATAAATAAATAACGTAATTTTAACACACGTAATCATACATCGGAGCTTTAATATTGTTAATAATTATCTCGCTTTACAGTACAGTGGACGGAGCGCAGCCTCCGTGGTGAAATACCCATCCATCAGGATTATCAATAACTAGTATAAACACATCACATTTACCCCTGTCCCTGTCTTCCTCGTGAAATAAATGAACGTTAATCTTACCCGGTTAAACATGTTCGCTGCAAATCTGAGGGCTGATAGTCCACTTGATTGATTGATTGATCGCTGCAGTTCATCTTCGTCCTCAGTCTCCATCAAAGTTATTAAAAAGAAAAAACGAGTTGAGTTTACGTCCTCGTCTCTTAGTGCAGCCGACCACGCAGCAAGCTAAAACCATTTTACTGTCAAATCAACTAAATAAAAGCGATAAAAGGCTACGAACTGGCTTGTTTTGACTACCTTCACTGGAGTTTCTACGGATGTAAACAGTCTTTTTGCCATCCATCATGGCGAAGGGGGCGGTCACATGAGTGGCGTGGCGTCACGTACAAAGGGTCAATATGATCTTGAAACAAGCGTTTTTCATCTCCCACACGTTAAGCAAGCCCCCAGCAGTCCTTTCTGATTAATGTCTTTCTACCTGTCCTCAACTGTGCAGCTGATTGCATGCTTGTGCAGTTAGTGTTTTGGTTCCAGGCAAAAGATTATCACACAAAACACAGAGAAGGAAGGAGAGTGTCTCAAGGTTATGTTTTCTCAGATCCCATGCCACCAGCCGCAGACACATACACACACGCACACACATCCTGAGGGGGCTGAAGACTTGCTGCAGATTCATGACTCCCCCTCGCAGTTTCTGATTCCACAGGCTTCACATGGTGTGTTGCACATGTCTGCAGTTGTTTTCCGTAGGGATACACAAATCAGTCATTCCTACCAGTAGAATCAGGTAACACCCTCCGTCATCCCCTGTCTAAAACGTCAGCCCATAGAAGTAATTATGCAACATTCTCACAAAAGCCACACATAAACAAATGCTGTAAATCTGGCGTTTTATTTTGCATGATCCATAATTTCCTGTTTTGAAGAGAAAGAATAAAAATTCAGTGAATATTCTTCTTCCTTGAGTGATTTCTGTTGCTTAAAAACAAACTGAAATGCCTCCCCTTTTTTTGCTACATCGCTAATGCACCTCCCTCTGGCGCAGCAAGGCTGCATTATGCAGCTCTGTGAGTAATTGCATTGTTGAACTTGCGCGTGTGTGTATGTGTGTGTGCGCACGCATGTGCGTCTGTGTCTTTCTGCAGTCCTGGGGAAGATCCGCAGTGCAGTGGGGAGCGCCCAGCTGCTGATGTCCCAGAAGTTCCAGCAGTTCCGAGAGCTGTGTGAGGAGAATCTGGTATGTGTCACCTCATCCTCTGCATGCGCCCCCCCAACCCTCCCCTCCCCCCTTCGTAACGCTGACATCATCCTGCACAAATCATGCTGACAGGCCAGGCTAGCAGTCATCTACTGTGCATCTAGTGTAGACATCATATTTTTTGCCATCTTTCAAAAATAATCACATTGAGTGAAAGCAGGTGGTCTACAGACCTTGAAATTCAGATACTAATATAAATAAATGTAAATACAACATTCTAGTCATGTTCCATAACAATAAAGGCTTTCTGAGACATTTATTGGAAAATGGACCATATAGTAAGCTAAAGCCATTATCTCACTGGGCTGCAACTGTTGGCAACAAAATGTGATCAGCCTCCATCAGGGTTCTCGCTTTTCTCTTGTGTCACTAGGATTGTGAACATGTTTGAAAACAACAGATCGTCTCGTAAATAGCAGAGTGTTTGTGCACTTCTGGAATCCCATGCATATTAGTGTCTTCTTTGGAAAGAAGCGTTAAATGCTAAACATGAGCCATACGATCTGGCCATAAACGAAACCTTTCGTAGAAGTGTTGTACTGATCCTGACTGAATGTTTGCATATTTTCTCCTAGTTTTGTTTAACTTACAGCCCGTTTCCACTATCGGCTGTTCCAGTCGTTTTACCGGAACTTAGAGGTAAGCGAATGTCTCTATTTCACTGGGGCGGGCCTGAAAGGACCTTTTTTTAAGCCACTTCAGGAACCAAAGGAGTACCTAAACTCGGGTATTCACTCGGCAATGACCCGGTAGATTTGCTGAGCCAGACTTGTGGATTAACCTATTCTGATTGGTTGTAACTCAGTAGGAAATGACATCAGCATCAGCAAACAACCTGCGTTTGTAAAATTGGAAGAGTTGCTGGTAAACTAGAATGGAAGGGAAAGAAAATAAGCAGTATTGACACTGCTTTAAACTCTCAACACCAAACAAATATGACAGAAATCCCTCCACGACGCCACTTTCTGTTCTCACACACCATGGCGCTTCTTTTGAGAATCAAACACTGCGTTTTACGTCAAACAGCTGCTCTTACCAGCCCCATTACGGCATACTTTGAAAGAATAAAACTGGTAATGTTATTAAAGTTGTTACAACGAATCTGCCAACAAGCTAGGGTTTGAATGCAAACATGGTCACAGAACACTCACTCCTCCCCTGGGATATCTTACCTGAGAAGCTTCTACCAGAACCGGAAACCTACGATGTTGGAGTAAACAAGATAGTGCTAATCCCCAATCGCCATTTTCTAGGTCCAAACATCTTTTGTTGTCCATGACTTCAAATGCTGTTTTTCATCTGGGACTCTGGTAGTTTGTCCTAACATTGGTGGCAGCCGGCTGTTTGTCCTTCTGTGGTATTATTCAGTGGAGAACCTCTCACACCAGTGGTGTTTGGTTGCTAAATATGTGAGTGTGTAATGAGTGGAGGACTCAGGGAAGTGCGGCGGTTTGGCGAGACCGACAATCCTGTGGTCCAATAGTTGCTTTTGAAATGGTCCGAAAAAGGTTATTGACAGCGGCTTTTAGACAAATGTGAGAGAACCAATTTATTCATTTTTCCATTTATTTTTAGTGTCGACAACAAATTTGCCGTTGTAGCTTTAATGTTTGTAGAAGCTTTTTGGTGCTGATATGCTGAAGTTTTATCAATGTCCTGAAAAGACCGATTTTGCATGGAGACGCAGCAGCTGAGAGGACCAAGCAGTCGTATCTCCCGTTCACTCAGAACTAAAGTGGAAACAGGGCTGAACAGTCACGACCCAGTGAGATGTTGGTTTCCATCAATACCAGCAGGACCGAGGGCTGCTTTACGAAACAAACAAATGCTAATGTTTGAAAATCTAAACCCTGTGTCACATAAAATTCAGACAATCCACCAATCAAAAATGTCCCAAAGTGATTTATTAAGCATATAAACAACATGTGTTTGTATGCTTGTGTTCATATATCAGAACCCAAATGCGCACCCACGGCCCATCTCCCAGGACCTGGCTGGTTTCTGGGACATGCTCCAGCTGTCCATCGAGAACATTAGCCTGAAGTTTGATGAACTCCACCAACTCAAAGCCAACAACTGGAAACCTCTGACTCCCCCAGAGATTCAGGTGCAGACACTCATGGCAAAAATGAACTTCACAAAACTCATTTCAAATGTCAAATTTTACTTAGTATTAACTTGGAATGCTTTGATAACCTGCATGCATTCTGCTGTCATTACGGTTTAGCTTGAACCATGAAGTCCATAGCTGAGCTTCGTTGTAGCATGCAGACATGTGTTGCATATGCCATGTTGCCTGCCTGACGCCGCTACTTGTGTTGTGTGTTTTTGTTCTGTCTTGTTGACAGTGAGCTGCTTTAAAGAAGCTACTCTACTGCCATGCACCGTTGGGGCCTGTCCATCTCCAATGGTCTTTTACCTCACGCAATGGCCACCATCGTGCTCTCTTACCCACATAGGTGGCTGCCACTGTGAACCATAACTTCATGAAATTGCATGCTCTCACGTTAGCCGCCAACCGCTATCTCTAACATCCATTCAAACTGGATTAGCACCGCCGCTCGTCATTGTGTTTAGCTGGAGGAGTCAGTGGTCCATCTTTAAGACTATTTATCATCCCTATCCAGGAGAGAAGGATGCCCCCTCCTGTCCCAAAGAAGCCCCTGAAGGGCCACCCACTTCTGGCTAGGGACCGCTCTCTGGAGAGCTCTGAGCGCCAGCGTCTGGAGGCTCGCAAACGCCTGCTAGCTGCCAAACGGGCCGCGTCAGTGCGGCAGAGCTCTGCTACCGAAAATGCAGACAGTATCGAGATCTATATTCCCGAGGCACAGACCAGACTCTGAACATAAACACGTGTTCTCCATAAACACAGTAATAGCACTGATCTATGAGGCTAGGGTGCTAACAGAATCGTCTTTTTTGCTCATCACTGTGGGATAATCCACCCTTGATGCTGTCTGAAAAAGTAATGTACCCTACAGTATTTATTTAGTTATTTATATCCCAATTTCCTTCTCTCAGCATTAATGTAGCAAACCCTGATTCTCTTTGTACATCCGCCGGTTCTTCTCTCCTAAAAGTATAGCTAACAAACCATGGTGTAAGTGACTTAATGTAAGGAAATCAGGATTTAGTCCTAAACGAAATAAAAAATTAGGTCAAACGTTACAGCAAAGGGGTTAAAACTGCTGTTTCAGTCTTGTCTGTTGCAACTTCAGGAGTCCGACCCTACAGGGAAGGGTTTTCTTGTGAGGCAGAGAGGAAAACGTTGGCCTCTGCCAAGAACGAAAATCGCTGAACAGATCCCTGTTTGAAGGAGCCACAAACTTAATCCGTGTGTGTGTGTGTGTGAGCGTGAACAGAGTGTGTGTCTTCATCCAGATTTCAAAAGTGCTTCCTATTTTTCTAGAGACTCCAAGGGTCTTGGAGGTAACTGACCATTAAAAGTAGCAGTATACACAAACTGTAAACAAACCAGCCATCCCGACTCATTTTAAACATGTTTGTATAAAGGACATAGAGTAGAGACACGACTCCCATGCTGACACTTATTTTTGTGCTTTTTAACACCTAACCAGTGTTGTGTTCACACTCATCTGTAACAGACTAAGCTAAAATACTGATATTTGGTACAATAACGTAGTTGTATTCTATTTTATTATGTCTTTTTTAGCCAAGAAGGGTTTCTTGGTAGTACTGAGACTACAAAACCAAGAAAAGGAACTATTTCTCCTCCTCACTGTGTGTGCACTATTTCTGCCTCCAAATCAAGCAATTACTGAAGGTCATCCAGAAAAGAAAGTCCTCTTTCTAATATTTTGTATTTTTATTTATTTTTGATTTGGGAGAGAAATGACTGTTTATTGACATTGTGATTATTATTATGATATAATTATTATTATTATGCACTGATAATAAGGCCCTTAAACTGTGTCTGTGTTTTTATTTATGGGTTCCTCTGCATGACAGGCAACCTTTGATTTATCTTGTCTGTTTCAGTGATCAGCCTTAATTTCAAATGCGATAGTCGAGCACAACAGCAGTCTCAGGGGAAGAGGCATGTTGAGTGTGTGTTTATGTGAGAATGTGTGATTTCATGTGTTTGTGTGTGTGTGTGTGAGACCCACAGCTTTGTGTCTTGTTGTATATAATCCCTGGCATCAGGATAGGCCATGATTATTAATGATAAAAACCACCTTTCTAACTTTCTTCAGTGTAACAAGGTATTTCTGTCAGCTGCTTGAATGTGGAGACAATCCTGATTTAATCTTATTTATGCCCACGTTAGTTGTCGATAACAAAGTAGCAGGAATTTTGGTGCGTAGTTGTGTTCTCGGTTAAAATCCGATAAAGTTTGTGCCATGCGATGGGCAAAGATGTGAATGTCCTGCTGTTTGTCCTCCTTAAATAGCTAACTGACATTTTCCAAGAGCTTAAGAGGGAAGTTATGATGTACGTTTTGTATTTTATTGAAATTTTAGAAGATTTATATAAAAAGCTATGTAACTTGATGCCATTCTATGTCGATGGTGTGCATTTTTACTTTGAAACTTCACTCAATTGTCTGTATTGATTCCTTATTTATGTTTATTATATTAACATATCAATATGATACTCCTAATATAGCAGGGAGTTAGAAGCCAGAATGTGGAATTCTGATGCTTGTGATGTAGTTACACTTAAAGAGGAAAAACACTCAAATATTTGTACATAAATGAATGTTTCCCTATGTAAATGTAAACTGAAACACAGACGGCATATTAAGCAGATATACATTTTGTAATTAACGTTATTACACAGTTGATGTTACGGCACGTGTATGAGCTCTTATCAGCATTAAAAAAAGGAAAATTGCCATTTATTTGTTGTGTTAATTTCTTTCCTGTCTTCACATGTGTTTTCAATTGGAATTTAATTAAAAAGATTAGTAGGCTGTTTTAAGGCGGTCCCCCTTCCGCAGGGGCAGGTCCCCCGTAATTAGACGGCTCTTTTTTGGCCCTGGCTCAGTCCCTACTCTCCTGCACACACAGCTTCTGGTGGTGATTTGTCATTCACACATCGAGTCATGCTGAGAGAAGGCACGTCGAATTATGGTTTTAAAGGGGTGTGCGGTGGCGATGCAATGGATGTTGCGTTTGTGCACAACCTCATCCTGAGTCAGTCTGCTCGTTTTATGGTCTACCATGGTGGGCTGCCAACTACCTACTGTGTGCCTGGAAGGTCTGTTTAAAACCCCTTCCTGTTTTTTTGTTTTTTGTTTTTTTACTGATTACATCACTCAGCCTCAAACCACAAGCTGTCACTTTTGACAGGAAGGAGGAAAATTAGGACAGTGAAATGCTTTTGTGACCATTTGCTAATGCCTGACAGGGACTGACGTTTAGGAAAGAAATCTGGACAAAAAAACATAAGAGCTCTTACTTCAACTTCTTTGCCTTCAAGTTTTTTAATAAACATTTCAAAATAAAAGCATCAGTCAGCTCTTTACTTTGAACAATAATACTAAAATATTCATTTGTGTTGGCTATTTATGCCACTATAGTTGGGCCTAGTGGTGTTTCATTTCTTTTATTCTTAGTTATACAACACAAATACCAGTTTCTACTGTATGTATAAAAAAGAGTATTTCAGCTGTTTTCAGAAGAAGCATTTTTTATATAGCACTTAAGATAAAAACTCAAAAGAACAAAATCATTTATTTTAAAGTATATAACTCATTTTTAAAAAATCTTAACAATTGAGGAAATAGAAAAAACATAAAATTAGGACACAAAAGAATAAGAAAAAAGTAATAAATTTCACATCTGGCCCAAACGTATTGTTGCTTATTTATTCAAATAATATAAAATAATTTATTGACTGACTTTGATGTTAGTTAAGAAAAAAAATATTAAAGTTGGGAGAAAAACGAGAAAAACAATTTGCAAATGAAGCCTCGGGTCCTGCTGTGGTCGGTGAGGAAACCTTTAGAACAGCAACAGGAGCAGAATGAAACATCTGTCTGCTTTGTCTTCAACCTCTGCTGTGAGCCATTGAGATGCATCACCCCCTGCCAGCGTAAAACTGTTGACGTCTGCTGTTTGCCCGTGTTAATTTATGCAGGATTATGCTAATTTATCAGAAGCTGCAGTAGAAACCTCTCACACCCAGGAAGGCCTCGTGTAAATGCCTTGCTGAAAGAGTTGTCGTATTCCGGTTATTCTTTTATTTACCAAATGTTCGAAGTCCTGAGAGAATAAATGACAAATGACCTGCACTTGTATAGCAGCTTTCAGAGTCAGAAGACTCCAAAGCTCTTTGCACTACAGTGAATCATGCATCCATTAATACCCATTCACACTCTGACCGATGTGTGAAATCTTCAAAATTTTGTGGGATTTGCAATAAATACTGCAAGTGTAAATTTATAAACAGCAATTACGGAGTAATCGCCCTTTCCGGAAGTACATAGGATTCTTTAGAAATCCGTGAATGTCTTACCCTATCGAAAATTTACGATTCTGAAATATATGTCTATATTAGGTATTTGGAGATAAAAATTGCCGGTTGCAGGGACCGAATCCAAAATGTTGCCAAAGGGTTGTTAAGATTTCGGTGGGAACAGGCTTCTTCTTGACCAAATCTACGACCACCACCACTCCCTCCAACTGCCGCTGTACAGGTAGTTATTGTCCATTTTTATTAGAGGTGAACTGATTAATATATTGTGATATTGATTTGAGGCCACATCACCCAGCCCTAATGTAGGCAATACGTAATTTTTTTTTGCCAAGTCCGCTTCCCGTCCCGTGCAATATAAATCGAGCTAGCTTGGCATTAGCCAATAGCGTTAAACATTCACTTACGTACAGATGTCACTCACAGGGCATGCATGCGTACTTGCAGGAGACATATTTAATGAAAAAAAATGATGTAGGATAATTGTAAAACCATGTGTTTTAGTTTTTTGGCAAACAAAAGGTGTTTCCACCTGTAATCACGCAAGTTGGCAGAGGGGCTTTTGGTGCAGTACATTTTTCCCGTCTCTAGATGGTGCCCTCTGAGAAAAAACTCTGGATTCCTGCTTTAGGTAATCGGAGTATAGAAAAGGTGATTCACGATGAGATGTAGAAAAAACAAAACTTTATTTGAATCCCATGTGACCCCTACTTGCCACAAACATTGCACAGTATGAAAAGAAATCACATCATTGGGCATCGTGTCATCGACTATACACGAAATCCTATTATACATAAAAATGCTTGTTTTCTTTTTTTTTTGGTGATTTCAAAAAAGGCTATCTTTGTAAGGTCGCAAAACATCAAATACAAAACAAAGAACATCTGTAGTGTTGCTTTCCAGTCCACTGGCCGTTGGGTTTCTCACTGAGTGATGGGACGAACTTGCTACATCTGAAATATCCCTTGGTATAAAAACAAAAGTAGTAAAAACAAACGCTTTTTCTTTTTAAAACAGCTAATTACAAAACCCAAAGCTAAACTCATGAAGACACTTTAACTACAGTAGTGAGTATGTATTTCTTCTGATACTGAAGTATGTTTAAGACACTGAGATGACCTTCCTCTGCCTTTACTGTGCAAACGAACGAGGCAGACTAATCAGATCTCTGAAATGTTAAACCGTAAACAAGTTGGTGCCGCGACCCGTCTGCACTACTGCTCTAACTTTCTAAAGTGAAAAACATACAGACAGGCAGCATTTCTTTGATAACATTTTTGGTCCCTGTGTGCAAATAAAATACACATGTAGATACATACGCATGTATATGAAATGACTAAACTTACAGCCAAGGCACCTCGATACAGTTTTTTTCTTTAAAAAACATCCTCGTCATAGTGACTGGTATACCAAAAATAGAAATGATCAGGCGTTCGTGTGGATTTATTCTCTGGTTCGTGCAGACGAGTCACTGAAGTCCCATAGTCTCACCCCTCCCCTCTGTTTAGGAGACCAGCTGCTTGGCCTGCAGCTCCATCTCCGCAGCCCGTTTCAGGGCCACATCCACCAGGAGCTGGAAGCCGCTGAAGTCCTGTGTGAGGTCTGGAGGAGTTGGGGGAGGGGTGTTAAACAGCCCACTGCGGGGGCTCAGGTTGCCCTCCATGCTGGTGCTGCTGAGGATGGTGGTGGTTGTGAGCGGCTGGTTGCCGTGCCCTTCATCCCGGCACCTGAGAAGTGCCTGAGCCTGCACGGACAGCAACAGCTCGGCTGCCCTGTCACAGTTCATCCCGGGCACCGATGCATGCGGGGCCATCGGGTTGGCGTGCATCGCCGTGGTGACAGTAGTGTGACAGATGACAGACGGCCGATTCGGAATGACACCAGCAGCGGGGGAAGAGGACGTCGAAGAGGGCAGGGAGGGGGACTTCCTCAGGACACCGGGCATGGTGGGGTCGAAACTCGAAGGGTGGAGGATCCGTTTGTCGCAGCTCTCCTCCGAGCCCGATGCGGCACCGCTGTGCTTCGGGGACTGGGAGCTGTCGGAGAAGCTGTCCCCGCTCTTGCTACCTTTCCTGGAGATGGTGAACTGGTTGGGGTCTTTGCCGTCTTTTCTTAACATCTCCGGGAGAAGTCGCCGCCGGGCATTAATGAACCAGTTGCACACCTGGGAAAAAGAAAACCCATGCTGTTAAAACACCATCAAATCTGTTGGCAGACACATCACCAAAATAAAAGAACGCATTTTAAAGCCTTTGCTTTCATTCCTGTAAATAAAAAGCTCTGAGCAAGAAGCAATCTCCTTTGTTGCAGCACTAATGACGGTCGTCTCCCATCTTTCTTTCCTTGCTCCTCCAGGCTAGTCGTAACTGGCTCAGGGAGGCCTGTAACTCTAACTATGTAAATGACTCTGCATTGTTCCCAGACAGCTGGGATGGAACGGGGCTGGAGGGAGGGAAATTCCTGTCCAAGTGTTTCAGCCAAACCCACAGCTCTCAGGGAGTGAGTTTACTCACGTCGTCGTCTCATACACTTTTGTGTGCGTTGCAACACCCGAGCTGGCTCAGATGACCTTCAATTCACTGTTGACGTGTTTTGCTTGCCGTCTTGACAGGAAATGACTCAGTCAAGCTCACACTTGTTTCCCTTTGAGTTTTTCTTTTCTTTACAGAGGTTTGTTTTTATTCTTGTGGTTTGCTGGCGATTAAGCTCAGGCAATCACGATGTTTGTGTCAAACGTCATACCTGCAACGTGGAGAGCTGAGTCTGCTTGGAGAGGAGAGCTTTCTCCTGCTCGGAGGGGTAAGCGTTGTAGCGGTGCTCGTACAGCCAGTCTCGGAGGATCTGGACCGACTCTTTGGGCAGGTTCCCTCTCCGTTTCCTCTTCCCATTGCTCCCGCCACTTGAAGACAGATCCAGAGGGGCATCCACGCTGTCCTCGTCGTCGGTCTCGCTCCCTGACAGCATAGTCAAACCTGCATGGTAAAGGGGAAAGCGCGTTAAGAAGATCTTCTTGGTGTTGTCAAAGTCTCACGCAGGCCGTCTGGGAGGCAGCTGAGGTGTCAGAAGCAAGCTGTCAGGTTCAGCCATGTAATTCATATACGGAGCTGAGGAGGAGGAAGGAACGGAGGGAAAGGAAGGCGTACGTCACAAAGGCTCGTCTGAGGCCGTGTCAGTTATAAAGCCTGCCTCAGCCAGACTGAAAACCGATGAGATTTTGTTTAGGAACAACAGATTAAAGAGCAGCTTCAACTGGTTTGGATTTAATCAAAGTGATCAAACAAGGCCTTTGCATTGGTTTAAACAGAGTAACTCTAATGACACCCCACAGGCTCACACACCCTGCTTTAATCCTACTTTTTCCTGTCATCGGACATGTGCGCTGCACGATCCGAAATATTAATAAGAAATCTGGATCGTTAGGAGACTTTTGGCTGCTCAATGAAACTTCCAAGTCATTCTTTTGGAGCAATAGCCAAACAAGTTGCCATGACGGCAACCAAAAAGCTCAAACTGGTCCCAAAACAATACAAAAACAGAAACATTTGACCCTGTGATCTAAGAAATCTGGATTTAATGAGACTTTGGCCCAACTTTTTGGTCGTTATTTATAGTTTAAGACCAAAAATCATCCATCCCGGTTTAAATGCGTCAAAATAATCACTAAAAATGACATTTATGTGCAGATAAAAGAAGTGTGCACTTGAACAATGTAGTGGGAAAGGAGTATGAAAGTTCCCAACAGGATGAGGTAATTACGTATGGGGCAGGGGAAGGGGGAGGGGAGACCTGTTGCAAATCAGCGTCTCCAGACTAAACAAAAGAACCCAGGGCTGCGTGCTTCTTTGTATGCTCTTCAAAAAGTTTCCAAGCGCAAAAAAGCGAATTTTGCGTCAACTGAAACATTGGAAGTGAGCGGAAAGCGCAAAAAAGTGTCCGAACAGCACGAAGGAGCTGGCTTTGAAAGTTTAAAAGAACTTGTGAGCGGGTTTCTATTGTGTGTGCGTAAACGCGCTGCACCACGAGGTCCATGAACAACAGCAACTTAACACAATGAGGTCAGGGTGAATATTAGCCTACTTTTAGGTTTCTGTCGCATTTAAACGACCCGAGCTTGTTTGCGTTCGTATTAAACACCAAAAAGATGCAGAAAAGTCTCGTTTGACGCATTAAAATGTAAAAAACGCACAAACTCTTGAACGTGTCGCCCACCTTTTGAAGTAAAGCAAAAATGTGTCAGTTTGTCACGAATTCAGTGCCCCTTAATCGGGATTTTCAAAGTAAAACAAGCATATTTTGCTCACTGAAGCGATTTTATTCGCTTTAAAGTTCGCTAAATTGCAACTTGACCGAGAAAAAAGATGAAAACCATCTGTGTGCGTTTACCAGACGAATGAAATGTATAATAAATGAGGTGGTTTTGAAGCGAAAGGTGAAAAAGAGCCAGATCGAGGGTTGACAACGCGCCAGCACATGGTCGCAAAAATCCCCCTGTCATGTCTGGAAAGGAAACAATAGGCTGCATGGTTTTCGCATGAGGGGGGAACTGTTCGCTTTAACAACACAAGTCGTATTTTTAAATCACATCTCCAACAGGAACATCCCACTTACCCTTTTTTGTCTTCATCTCCGTCCGAAAAAATGCCCACAAATTCCTCGTCGAGCGTAGAAGCAGATAAATCTCTTTAGTGTTTTCTTTTCTCCAGCGTCTTCCCGAAAATCCTTATTCATCAAAAGCCCTCCGTTTTGGATTAGTGTGTTTTTTTGTATTTCTCCCCTTCTTGTCCTTGTTAGGAGTCTCGGCGGTGAGGATGAAGAGGAAGAGGGGGTTACCTGAGATCTCTGCGCGTCCCTTCGGCTTCGAGCCCTTTCCTCATTGACTGTGTGTGTGTTTGATCCTGAAACTGGGTGACAGCTATCTTTGACAGCTGCGTGACTCAACGCACAAAGATCCTCCCACCATGTTGAGCAGGGGAGAAAATCTCTGACATCAGCGTGGCTTGTTCCACTGACATGATGAAAATACAGTTTTGTAAGCTTTAACCGCTCCATGATCTCTAATATACATAATAATGTTTTTAACAACAAAAAAAATCAAGAGTTTTATTTATTATCCAAGACAAAACAACAGGCTGTTGGAGCACTGCGGATCCTGTGAGAAATCACATTTTGATGATGGCAAAACCGATCTTGTTGCAGCTTTATGTAATTAAAATTAAGAATTATTTTTTTGTTGATTCCCTTCTGAAAATCAATTTGTTTTTATTTTTTATTATTTTTTTTTGCATATCTGTGTCATGTAAACACCTCCTAATTGGCCGTAGTGGTGGTATAAACGTTCAGTTTCGCGGCAGTCCATGCTACTAAAACCAAAAACAACCCTGCAAGAGCAAAAAAAAAAAAAAAAAAAAAACAACTAATGCCTTAATTTGTATGCCGTGCACAACCTTGCGACAGCTGCTGTGGCTTCGAGTCTGCATGATTTTGATCCAAACAAGTACCCTTTCCCCATATTTGGTGCGAAATGTCGTCATCTCGTGGTCAGAGCTAGTCCTGCGTTTAAATTAAATAAAGCTCATGGAGCATACCGGGCTCCCCCTGGTGGTTGTTATGCTACAGTGCAGCCAGAGCTTTCAGAAATCTGGCTTGTCAAAATAAAAATTAAGCATAAAACCCAATTTGTTCTCCTTTTTATAGAAGTAACATTTAAACATGAAAACGATTTTGGCCATTTTTCTTAAAGACGAGGCTTTTAGAAATCTTTTTAAAAACGTTTTCAAGCACACACCACACAATCTGCCATCATAGTCATGTATTTAAACCAGAAAAAAACTCAACCTAAAGACATTTAATTTTAAAAATCACATATTAGCACATACCAGTTCAATCAGGAGTAATTTAATAAATTAGAAATAAAAAAGGTAACGTGAAACATGTAAAAATCATAGACCTATTTTTTTTCTTTCAAACATGATCAATATATACAAGAGCCGTGCACATTACATGAGTGATCTTAAATTTAAATAAATAAAATATTGGGATTAAAAGATTACAAGAAAATTTGGCTCATTTGAAGTAAACTTAAATAAATCAAAGGTGCTTTAAAACTACAGTTCTATAGATTTATGTTAACAAATACAATACTAGTTATTACTTTGGATTTAAAGACGGTTGTAGAGTGATATAAAACAGCAGTGAGGTGACTTTTAGCACCAAGATGACTGGCAAACTCCAGAAGCTTCCAACAGTCTGAGGTAAATATAGCCTGAGCCTCATAAACAAGTGTGTTGTTACAAAGTCTGATAGCTTAGTGTCTGTCAGCTATCAATCAGGAAATGTATAATAAAATACTTTTAAACCATTTTCCCTTTGCATGTTGTCCATATAAAACACTTGTTTATGCGAACATGGATTGTGAAAGGAGGTTATATTAATAGTTGAGAAGTTAGATTGTTATTGACGTGTAAATCGAAAATGGTCAATCCACTTTGATTTGATTGGTAGCTTAACTAAACCTGCCAAGCCAGACTATATTTGCGAAGCAAGAATTTGGTCTAGTTCACTAAACTAAGCTTAACTTTTTTCGAGCTCTGAACTTGACCAATGGGGCGACACAGCTCTGCCGAGCAAGGGTGAGAACATGATTCAGATTAGTAAAACTGTCATGCATTGCTTTACGCGTTGTCACTCCTCTTTCTGGACCGTGATGCACTGCTTCAGTTATGCTCACAGGCCGTAAATAAAAAGTAAACAAACCGCAGCGAGGACAGAGCGGGAGTTGCGTCAATTTCCCTGTTCCCTAAAACCAAACCGGAAATGGGATTATTTACGTTCAAAATAAAGGAGTAACAACATGCTTGTTTGTTTGTGTTTAGTCTTTACAAGGTTTTTATATTTTTACAGCTTAATTTATGTTAATAAACAAACGATAATCAGTTTTTAAAAAGACGGCTCCATAAACAGTGAACGGTTTTAATTTCGCATTGGGTTTTGTTTTGAAACAATGTTTACCGGAAGCTGTTAAGATTGCATTCTAATTGACGGAAACGTACATTTCTAGTCCTAAATCTAAAATTAGGGAGGCACCCCCAACTGCAAGTGACGCAAGGAGCCTAAAGTGGACGCCGTCGTCGTCTCTGTGAGTGAATGATACCAGGACCTGGGGTCATGGAGACCCTCGCTACAACTTGGCCGATGTGGATGACTCGGGGGGTAATTTTAGCCATTGTTGTCATCTTTCGTGACGGCCCGCTGCAGTAGGCGTTCAATATAAAGCCCCCGCTTGTAAAATGCAGCTGTACAACAGTGTGCTGACACACTACCCGAAGTCGTCTCGTAGAGTTACAATCACTTTGTCACCCGGGAACGAGACGACGCAAAGTTCCTCCGAGCTCGGCGGAGCGGGACTTCCACAACTTCCAGCAGCCAACTGCGGCGAGACTGCGCCTTCTTCTTCCGCAAACATGCCTGCGTTTTCGTCTTACGAAGGTTCGCCATTGAGCCCGATTTACTTCACATCGACCGCGGAGATATTAATCCGCAAACCCGGCGGAGTGGAGAGGAACAAACCGCCCTCGCATATCTGCAGTGACTCTGATGTTTTTCAAGAGCTCGTGGATCACGTGGCAAACGGGACAGAGGAGGTTTTTCCAGACTTGTCACTAGTTGGGAATGTTTTCAAGAGCAGCGACTCGCTGGTTGATGCAATTAAAGCTGAGGGTTCATGTGAGGATAACGCCTCTACTGCCCCCTTTCAGATCAGTGGATGGGCCCCACCATCAGAGCCCGCTCCACCCACTTCAGCCCACCTCAAAGACATTGAAAACCAACATTTTAGTGATAAGAAAGAAGTTATCGTTGCACCAGATGAGAAACAGGCCTTCGAGCTCAGCGTTCTCCAGGAATCGGCTCCACCAAGAGGCCAGGAGAAGGTGAATGTAAACGCCAAGGTGTCTCGGCACCTGGCTGAGGTGGAGAAACAGAACATGTACTTCCAGGAGAGGTGCAAATACAGGTACCACATCATTCCAGATGGCAACTGTCTGTACAGAGCTGTGTGCAAGGCCACGTCCGGGGACCAGGCGGGACACGGAGAGCTGAGGGAGCAGACCGTCCACCATATCGCAGACCATCTGGACGATTTCATCCCAATCATCGAAGGGGATGTGGGGGAGTTCCTGATCAACGCGGCGCAGGATGGCGCCTGGGCTGGTTATCCAGAGCTTCTCGCCATGAGCCAGATGCTGAACATCAACATCCACCTGACAACAGGGGGGAGTCTGGAGAGCCCCACGGTCTCAACCATGGTCCACTACCTGGGGGAAGAGGACGTGTCCAAACAGGCTATCTGGCTGAGTTGGCTCAGCAACGGTCACTATGACGTCATTTTGGACAAGTGTCTCCCTAACCCGGAGTACGAGGACTGGTGTCGACAGTCGCAGTTGCAACGGAAACGAGATGAGGAACTAGCCAAGTCCATGGCAGCCTCATTATCCAAGATGTACTTGGAACAAAATGGATCTGTGTGACTGAAGTCGACTGTTGTGTTTTGTTTTATACAGAATGAGATTATTTGTCCTGCTTAGTTTCTACCTGCTTTACATTATTTTTATAAGATTCCTACTGAGAAGGTGCAGTGCACAGGCTTTTGTATGAACCAGGATTCCCAGATGATTTGAAAAAGTGCACCCGTTTCTCCAGATTTGTTTTGGTTACGTTGACAAGTTACAGTTTTTGTCTGCGTGCTTTTGGAGTGTACAGTATTTATTTGCCTTTGTTTTTTGGACTTGCTTTGTTGGCAGCTGCCAAATATTTTTACAGGATAGTTTTCCTATTTTATCTTGTTTTATCTGTTTTTTTCTCTCTTTGCACAAAAGGCTTGTTTGAATTGCTCAGCGTGTTAATGATTCCAGTTCTCTTCGAGTTATCCATAAAATGATTCTTAAAAATACAATTTGGGGGAAAACTGAATTGCTGTTTGTTTACATTTAATTTTTTACAACTGCTTATCTGGTGATAGTGTTTGGCATGCTAATGTGGGTCGGATAAGATCTGATTCGCTACTATTTGGGTCTCTCAAAGTGGAAAAAAAAATCGGACTTTTAACTCCTGGTTCAGCGTTACTCATTTGTTTACACTATTACATGTACATGGTGACTCAAACTGCTACTCCTACACATTCTTTCACACCAAGGTCCAGAGGCCGATCTCTGACAGCTAATCTGGTTTTGACTGTTATGTTGGAGAGTTTGATTTTTATGCAAATTTACAAAGCGAGAAATTAAAATAACATTTTAAACATGTAAAATATTCTTAGAAGTGACTCCGCATCTAGATCTGTTTTTGCTGAAATAGGATTTTTAAAACTAAATAGGACTGAAAGTTGAACCTTACCTGCCAAGTAAGTTTGGAAACATTTAGTTTGAAGAAGAAGCGTGTTACGTTCCCGACAGGAGGTGTTAAAATGTGAAGGAGGGGGTAACACAAGAAACATGATAGTGGGTTAAAATGGGTTTGATTGTCAAAAAGGTTTGAAAACAAGCGTGCAAACAGATGGTAAGCATTACTAAAATAATGCCAAACAAAAAAAAAAAACTCAAAAAGGTTAACATTAAAAGACCAATTACCAACATTTAAAAACACCTGGTTAAAACGTATTCTAAAAGTTTTACCAAAACAGAAGGTGTTTCAAAATCCATGTTGATAAAAGTTCTAAAACAATCTATTGACATAAAACACCTGGTTGAAACTTTACCGAACAGAAGGTGTTTGAAATCAGAGTCAATAAAATTGCATCAAACTAAGTTAACCTTTCAATATCAACAGATCCCTCTGGATTGTCTAATAGAGCTTCAACATTTCTGTTTTAAACTCACAAAACAAAGGGGGTGAAAACATAATGAGGCCTGGAGGACAGCAGAACCCCTGCACTGTGGAAGGCACAGCCTTTATCCCAGGTGTGGGTCGTCAGAGGGATTCATCTCAGCTGTGCTCCTCAGCAGCCTGGAAGAGAGGAGGAGGAGGGGCGGTGTCAGGCTGATCAGCAGGGCTGGGTGATCCTGGCTCCTGCATCCAAAGTGGCCAGGCTGGTGGCCATAACAAAGCAAAATCATCTTAAAGAACACACAGAAGATCTTTTGCTATTTTATCTGATCCTACAAAGATTTTAGGAAGTGGTCTATAGAGAGCAGCCATTTGAAAGGAAAGTTTCTTGACAAGTACTGATTGTAGACTTTCACGTACGCCAACACGTGGTTAGTAACTCATACTGCCGTTCACTGTATGGAGTAATAGTTTTATTGAAAATAATATATCATTTTAAATGTGTGAAATACAAATTTTAAAGTTAATACACACGCTCATACAAGTGGACATTTGAAAGACGTAGAAGAAATGACAAACAAGATGAAAAAGCATTCCTAATGGGGTCTGATGGGCCCCATCTTTTTTTTTTTTTAGATTTTCACCACCTGTCACGTGGACCCCAAGGAATAACCACCAACACTGCTCAACCATCTCCACCTCAGCAGGAAGTGGAACACTTGGGGGGGGGGGGGGGGGGGGGGGGGGGTCCTGATGCATGGAAAGGGGAATTTTTGCTTCTGAAACATTAAATCCTAAATAAGTCACCCCACTTTAGGAAGAAGACACAAATCTAATTCATAGTTAAATAATTACATATCTTCAGACTTCCAGGCAGCTCATTGACCCCCGATGGGAGGCCCTTTCCTAAAATGCGTTTTGTTTCCACCAGATGGCGATGTAGGCTCCATATTTCCCCACCATTGTTTTATTGTTGCCATTAGCGTTTTTATTTCTTTTTCATGTTCTTTCTTGTTTTTCAGAGCTGAAAACGAAATTCTTTCAGGAATTTCCTCCGAGTTACTCCCAAAAAAGTTTAAGGACGTTCCAAAAGTGATAAAATGTTGGGGATGGTTTTTGAAAGTTTTGAGGTAATGAAAAATAGCACCACTTAATTTATTAAGTTACGTGTGTGTGTGTGTGTGTGTGTGTGTGTGTGTGTGTGTGTGTGTGTGTGACGTCATCAGCCTCTTGCAAGACCTAAACTTATATAAAGATAATTTCGTGCAACATGCCTCATTAATCCTCATCATGGCGTCGTTATTGATGTTTCATCTGAACGCTTTACAGAGATGACGTAACGCTGCAGTCAGCGGCACGAGACTGAAAGTTTTCGTCTTTTATTTTTAATACGGGAGAAGAAGAAAACGGTTCCCCTGTTTTCGTCGTTTTTAACGGGGACCGTAAAGAAGCTGGCGGAGCAGGAGGAGGGCAGGTGAGGATCCTTCTCCTACCGCAGTATTCTGGCTCAGAATCAGCGCGTGCTGGGACCAGTCTCTTCCACGCGCCGAACGGACGGTCGCTTCGCGCTCGGAAGTTACCGGATACTTCAAAGACGAGCCGCTGAAAAGCAGCACGGGGAAAGGGACTGAACATGTCCGGACATCGGGTGCAGTTCGTGGACCTTCCTCCGAGCAACCGCAAAGGAAGCCCAAAATGTCCAAGTAAGGAATTCGACTTATCCCACCTTAACAAGACTGGAGTTTTTTATTTTAGAGATTTATAACTTTCTAAAGTTCTAATTATCTTCGAACGAAGCAAATATACTCAGCCAGTAGTTAATATTAGAGCTAAACTCTAAATAAATAATATTTGCTAATAAAATACAATAAAGTTTAAGCAGATTGGATGAAAACAATTTTAAAAGAAAAAATGGCCAATTTTCTATAAAAATTACTTAATTACAAGCATGACAATACTTGGAGTACTAGTGATTTTATGTGTGGCTGATGAGTTCAACCAGTCATTAGTTGCATTTGCTTATCTGAAATTTCTCAGATTAAACATTTTAATTTATCTTTTTTACTCCCATTAAACCCTAAGAAAGTAGCATCAAGAGACCACTTCACCACCGGACAGGGAGGAATAATAACAGTTCAGTTTGTTATGTTAAAGGTGTCTTTTAAAGTTTTAAGGTTATTTTTTGTGCTGCAGTGTGTGTATGCATGGAAAAACGGAGCCATTCTCCATGGTGACAGGTTGAGTGACACAGCACGTGAGCAGGATGCAATGGGGAATTAGTTACTTGCAAAATCATCAAGAAGTGGCTTTAGATTGGTCTTTCTAGCTGTTTTTCATGTTTGAATTGAGAACATACACGTGGGCTGCAGAGGTAGAAGTGCTGATGTTGTATGCAGGTTAAGCTCAGATTGTATGCAGTGCATGTGGGGTTGATGTGTAGAAGGGCACAACAGCAGCTTCAGCAGCAAACTGCACATTCTGACTCAGCCAATCCATTTTCCCCTGCTGCTCAGCTGCAGGTGACAGAGAGGTTGAGTTTCAGTGTCTTATCCCTGTGTGCTTCTAATGCATGTGTTTATACGACACACGACGGCTCAAGAAACACGAAAAGGCACTTGATCTGAAGTCTTCTAGAGTCTCCCGTGTACATCAGCAATCCGTGTCAGTCTTTTACTCTTAACTTAATATGAAAAATAGCAAGTTTGTGACAGCAGTGCAAAGCTTAGTCATCTACTTTATCTATTCCCAAGCTGCTTCAGCTGATGCTAGTTCCTATGTCTTAGAAAAAAACACAACTGCAAATTTGTCAACTTGCATCACAGGCTTCAAGGGATTAGCTTTGTTTTCTGCTGTACAGTTTATGGGTCAAAACAGAATATGTTGCAACATTTCTGAAAATTCATTAATGTGCAGCACATGTCACATTTCTCCATCTGTATTTTGGCTTTACTTTGCTGCAGAGCCTGTTGCATCTCTTGTTAACTAAACAACAATAAAAAGAGTTTGCCAAAAGGCTGAACTGTTATTTCCCATCTTTAGTAGAGTTAAAGAGACAATGTGCATTATACATTGAAACTTTGTTGAAAATTAATAAAAGGATGTCTAGTTGTTGAAAAATATTAGCAGCTTCATACCATATGAGCATAAAAATCAGGTCTAAAGTACACAGGGTGCAGGTTTAGTGTCATTGGGAGACACCATATTAGACGCTAGGGATGTAAGAAACTATCGATATGGCAAATATTGTGATATTTTTTCCTGCAATATTATATTGATATTCAAAAACTGTGTATCGATTTTTTAAAAAGTATTTACATGCAAACATTTGTGTATTTTCTTTTCTTTAGGTGCAATTCAAACGCCGACTGCTAGTTGGCAGTAGGGTTGTCATGGTAACTGGCGTAGCGGTAAACCCCGGTAAAAAAGTTGACAATAATAATAACCATCTTGTTTTTAAAAAAACTATATTATCTCGGTGGATTACCGTGGCTGCGGTGTAGGCGCAGTGACCCTTACCAGCCACCGTATCATCTGCTGAAGTTGCCGGCGGCACATGCGCACTTTGTTGTTTACAACCAAAACTTTCTTGAAGCTAAAGCTGAAATAATGGCCAAAGGAGGAGACGGCAGCGCGCAGGACATTTATTAACCCTCAAAGAAGACAAAGTCGGAAGTACGGGCATCTTTTGGATATTTGAAGAATGCCGAGGGACAGTTGATAGAAGACGGCTATCCTGTTTGCAGCACGTGCAGAAAAAGTGTCTGTGAAAGGCAGCAACGCTTCAAATCTCATGACACATCTGCGTGACCATCACCCACAACTCTACAGTCAACGCAAGGCAAGCTAACGTTAGCGTTTTAGCTAAAATGCGTGATCCGAGGATTTGGATGGAGGGAGAATGCAACGAGTCGCTATATAAAGCAGCCGCAGCACCACTACCTGCATATAAACATTCCACATTAGAAACAAGATTAGTACACCCAAAAGACAAAATATCAGCTGGACAAAAATGTGGAGTCATCTACGAAATCCCATGCAAAATATGCAATAAAACATACATAGGAGAAACCCGACGCCAACTCAATACACGGACAATAGAACACAGAAAGGAGTGCGAGAAAGAGGCAAATCGTAAACACACAAGAGCA